GAGTGGCCAACGTGAAGAAACAACAGAGCAGGGGGGAGGAAAAAGGAATAAAGCAGCGAATAAAGCGGTGTGACAGCTCTGGAAAAAACCGAGCAGAAATGATCCCGTTTGTATAAGATATTCCGAGAGCCGGTGTCAGTCCATCATGGTTTGTATTAAAGCCAGATGGAGATCATCTCCTCTTCAAAGAGAAGTGGCTGGAGTTGTTACAGTGGGCCAGCTGGTTCTGAGCTCCCCTTTTCCCTGCAGTGTAATATATCCCGTGCTCCTTGGAGCTCACGTCCCATGGAATATCTGTGCAATTTGTAACCAGCACACAACGCGCCGCGGCTCGAATCCCATAAATCACCCCGCAGCCTCTGTTTGAGAATAAATCTTCTGATGGCTCTGCCTTGGAAAGGACCAAGCAAAGGTTTGAAAGGGTTTGTTTTGGGTTTTTTTTTTTTTTGCCTTTCGAAGAGGAAAAGAGATTCAAAGACATTTGCAAAATCCACAAGGGGTCAGTGTCTTGGCAGAAATCCTCCTCCAGCACCGAGGAACACAGGCATGGCCCCAGCTCCAGGATGTTTTTAATACTCTGAGACAAGGGAAGGATTTGTGGGGGCAGGGGGTTGATTTTGATGTTTCTCCCTGCCTCCTTTTAATGAAAGAAGGCGACTGAAACAGCAATTCTGCTTTGCTGCACTGTTTTTCTGCTTGGGCACAAGGAGTGGGAGAGCCCTGGGGGGGGATGCTGACCTTGGACCTGCACTGCCCAGCCAGGGGATGCTGGGGCCGGGCAGGGAGGGGGCTCAGCCCCAGCAGCTTTCCCAGGGCTCAGAAACATCCCCTGTGGGGCCACAAAGGGTCTGTGGGATCACAGCCCCCGGACCCACCCGGTCCCTACACGCTGCAGAGCTCAGGGCTCGCCCTGTGCTCCCAGTTTGGTGGTGCCACCCCCAGCCAGGCAGGACGGAGCAAGTGAGGCTGCACAGCAAAGTGAAAAGGGTCAGTGACACCCCAAAGCTCAGCCCCAAACCCACATCCCACCACGGGGCTGGTGCTGCACTGAATTGTGCACACACAAATCCCTAAATAAAGCCCAGCCCCCAAATCCTTCCCCCTCCTGATGCACCTGAGGGGTCTGAGAGCAAAAGCAGCTCTAAAGAAGGAAACCACAGCGCTTCAAGGTGCCTTCCAAGCCTACCCATCCTGGGGGAACAGAGCATTTCCCAGCCCTTCTCCCATCAATGACCCCAGAGGAGTTTCTAAAACAAAGGAAACATGGCCAGTGTTGCTGCTGAAGTTCGTTCAGGACCATGTAAGAAGTGGCTGAGCTTCCCAAATCCATCTGCTGCGTTTTCCTGCCCCCATGGAGGGCTCAGAGCTGTTCTGCTGATCTTCCCCTGACTCAGGGGCTGCTGCTGCTCCAAGAGGTGATGCCCAGGGGCCTCACCAGCCTTGCCCTGGTCTCCCTTTCTCAGGTGTGTGGCACCAGATCAGCCCAAAGCCACAGGAGGGGTCTCTGAGGGGGGCTGTAGGTTGGTGAGAGAGGAAGAATTACCCAAAGTCTTACTCAAGGAGCAGCTCTGACCTCCCACCCTCCCTCCACACACTGCCCCTTACTTATCTTGGAGGAAACATTTCACAACATCACATTAAAAAAATTCTTTTACATTTAATAAACCAAAGTGTATGACCATTAAGCTGCTCTCAAAAGCCTTCTGGAAATCTCATCTCAGCTTGTCTAATTTCAGTCTGAAAAGTTCCAAAAATCGCCACAGACCCCCTTTCATCTTGCTCAATCCCAGCTCGTATGCACATTTCTGTGAGAGGTTTCCAGAGCAGGAATTCAAGGCTATCAAGGGTTTTTTTTAAGGGAAAAGCCAAGCTGAGCTCACAGTTCCCATCAGGGCATCTCACATGAAGCCACCTCAGGAGGCTCCTGCAGCTGCACTGCAATCCCATGAGTTACTGATCCAAAATAACAGCAGCAAAACTCCTGCTCAGTTCCCCCCAGCACAGGGCACAGCTCTGACCCAGCTGGGCCAGATTTCCAATTTCAGGGATGGATAAAACCGGGAAGCAGAGAGGAAGAAACTTCTGCCACCACATAGCCACAGATGGAGGGCGATGGCAGATGTTCCCTGCAGCCACTTTCTGCAGAGCAGAGCTTGGATCCCACCAGGGATTTCTCTGCCAACACACCCAGCTGCAGGAGGGGAGGATTTGCCCTCATGGAACAGCAGAGGGGACCCCAGGCAGCAGAAACTCAGCTCAGCAGGGACTTCCCTGCTGGGAGGCTCAGAAAAGCAGAACAGCCTTTGTGACCATCCTCATGTACCTGCACCTTCAGATCCAGCAGCAAACCTCACACCCAGAAATCCACACCTCTGGCAGCTCCAAGAAGCAATCATGGGTTAATTATGGACTTGCCAAAGCTATTTTAATCTGCTGCTGGGACAGAAGAGCTGCAGAAGCTGCTCCAGCTTCCCTGGGCTGATGGTCCCAACTCCATCCCCACCATGGGCTGGCTCAGAGTGCTCAGAAGAAAGAGAAAAACATGCTGAATTCCCCAGCATTTGAATCACAGAAGCCTTTGCCAAGAATGGGCCTCCCTCGTTAGAGTTTCATAATTCCTCAATGCTCTCAGCCCCGCTCAGACCCCGTTTGGGTAATAATTAACTGTTCCCAGCACAGCTCCAGCTTGGCACACAGGCCTTCAAAATTAACAGCACTGAGGAGTTTATTTCTGTTAATTATATTGTTTTGGAAGGAGAAGAGGAAGGAAAGCAATTTCCAGAGATTTGTGGGGGGTTTCTTCTCACCCTTCCCCCCGGCATCCTTCGGGAGAAGCTTCACACCCACCATGGAGCTTCCCCAGAAATGGGCTGTGGTTCCAACCCTGCATCCCCAAAGGGAATTCAGATCCTGCTGCCAGGGGAGGAGGCTCCTCACAGAGCCCTCAGGGGTGGTGGTGACTCTGTTCCCTTCCTGAAGGGGTTTGTGCCACCCTCCTGGAGAGCCTCGTGCCCCAAATGCCACCCGTGACCCGACTCACCCAGGGCTGAGACCATCAGAGATGGACAAGGACAGAGCACATGGGATGGAAAAGACCAGCAGGGACAAGGTGCAGAACCTTCTCCCTCCAAAACCTGCAAAGAAAGCCCTGAGGACTCTTCCCATTGCTCTCTCCCACTGCCCATGCTTGTCCCTGGGGACAGAGCCACACAGGCAGGACAGCAGAAATGTTCTCTGGCCACTTCATTTGGTTCCTGCCCCACCATGGGGTGCAGAGACACTGGGGGACCGAGCAAGTGCCACTGTCTCCTGCCCCACTACCACATTCTGTGGCAATGGAAAACTCATCCTGGGCATTCTGGGAAGAGGCAACAGGTCAAAGCCACTATTATTATTTAAAAAATAAAAAATCAACCAATAAAGAAGTTTTTGTGAGTGTTTCATAGGAGACAACAATCTCCTTTCCTCTTCCCCGTGGCACAGGTTGGTGCCCACTCCCTGCCAGCACAGCGGAGTCCCCACCAGTCCCACCACCCCTGGCACAGTCCCACCAGCTTCTCACCCAAGCCAAGCTGGCAGCTGGAGGGTGCTGAGGCTCCCAGCACTGCCAGGGCTGTGGGAGGAAGGAGCTGGGAAGCACCAGCCTCTGAGGGAACTCCTGGCAGCAGTTTGAGAGCAGCAGCAAACCCTGAGCTCTGGGGTTCCCCTGGTGACCACAGCCCAGCGAGATGCCACCAGCCCGTGGCCCTGGCACTCCCAGAGCAGCCAACCCCTCCCACAGATGTGATCATCCCAAGCACAACCCCATAAACAGCATCCAGATGTGCTTTGGGAGGCTCCACAAACCTTCTTGATCTCCTGACAATGGTGCCCAGAAGGATTTGGAAAGCTGACGGAACGCTTTGAAGTTTTATGGGATGTGCTTTGGACATCCACAGCAACAGCTCCATGGTCCCCATCCCACCAGGCTGAGCACCCTGCCCACACCCCAGGGTGCTGCTGGGGCAGGAAACACGAGCCTGACATGGACTGGATTCAGGAATTGGGGAGCCTGGAGGCTGCTCCTCCCTTTATCTCCACCCTGGGGTCTGCAGATCACTCTGGCACCACCCGAGGAAAGCAGCACCTGGGACACTTCCTCTGCTTCCCTGTCCAGCCTGAAAATACTGTGGGAAAAATGAGTCCCAGGGAGAAATTTGGTATCTCCAAGCCTGGCAGTGAGCAGAAAGGCAGGAAAAGCAGCAGAGCAGCACTTCCCAAATCCAGAGGGGAGCTGGGGGGGGCTCCTTCATTCATTCCTAAGGAAAGACAGGAATGAGCCACCCTGCCTGCCCATCCCCACAATTCCTGAACCACTGCCTTGCTTTTAACCAAACCTGAGTGAGGCTGAGCCCTGGCCAAAAGCATTCCTTGGGGTCTGACGTGCCACCCCACAGGGAAATGGGGCAGAGGCACCAAAATCCTGCTCAGGGAGGAATCACAAGAGATGTTCCATCCTCAAAGGCCACAGATGCATCTTCTCAGGCAAGCAGGAAAATCCAACCCCTGGATGCAATTCCTGGAGCCCCCCAAGACCCCTCCTCAACAAACACCTTCATTTTCTCCAAAGCTTTGCCTCTCCACCATTCCCACCACCCTCCCAGAGCTCCATGCCACTTCTCCAAGGTCCACGTGCAGCTTTGTCCCCCTCAGCCCCGTGTCAGGACTGGAGGAAGGCTGGGAGAGTCACAATTCCCCAAGAAATTCTGGGAAAAGCACTCCTGCTTTTAATGAGAAGACTTTTTTTTTTTTTTTCCCTCTGCTCTCTTCCACAGCCAAGCTAATAAAAATGGAAAGCACTAAGAAATTCCAGCAGAAGGGAGGGAGGTGTGGGGGAGGAGCAAAGGGAAGATCCCACTCATTTAAGCCTATCCTAAGCAGAAGATAATTAGCCACATATATCCCAGAAAGAATAGCAACAGTATATGCAATTATTGGGAATGCACACTTTAAGAGCATTTGCCAAAAATGCCTGTTTTTATTAAAAAGGAATGGTTTCACAAAGGCCCAACTGTAAGAAAGGTTGTAATTTGCCCAAATAAAACTTAATTTGATCCATGAAATAGCTGTGGTTTATTGTGTAATATATGTGCTATGTGTTTTAATTTAATAGAATCCAATATAATTGTAAGCCAGTTGAGTTTCAGAGCAATTTTGGTTGTTCCCACAGTGTGCAGAGCACAGATGCCACTTTGTGCATCACACCAGCACATCCATAAATCAGGAATATAGGAAGGATTATCCACAAAGCAGCAAGTAATGCTTCATCACGCTCCAGACAGAAAATAAGACCTTTGAGGGAAGCAAAAGGAGTTATTCACAGGAAATAACTCGGGATGCTCTGCACTCAGCCAGGCTTCTGGATGGTTTTTGGGGTGCTGGCGCTGCCCTGGGTATCACCAGCAGCCAGTGATGCCATGGCCCCCTTGCAGCACCCCCAGCCCACCTCAGCTGAGGGGAAATGGAGGTGAAACCTTATTTTTGCTTTCTAGGAAGGCTTTGGTCCGTGCTGGACGCTCACAAGAGATGCTGTTGTCCCACCAGGCAGCTCCTGCTCCCAAACAGCTCAGACAGGATGCTCTGAGGGGGTGTGCAGGATCTCTCCTCCCCAGCACCCAACTCCCATTTCCTCCAAAACTGAGCTTAAACCAGCCAGGAGCAGCAGATCCACCACCAGCCTCCCCCCAAGCCCCACACCAGCAGCATCCCCCCATAGCAGCTCCTCCACAAGGCTTTTGGATGGATTATTTTGTGTTTGTCAGGAAAAAACCCACAACTCCCCTCTGGCTCACCCCACACCCCTGAGAGGCACCAGCAGCACCCTGGGCAGCTGTCAAAGCTTTTCCTGCACCTCAGCCCCAGCCTGGAGCACCCAGGGCTTGGGGAAGCACAGGCTGCTGTGGGACAGCTCTGCTAAAAGCTTCACCCCACATCCCAAAGAGCTGGAGACCTTCCAGCACTGGCAGCCCATCACATCCCAAACCAAACCTCAGCTCCTTCTTCTGCACCAACAGGGATTTTTGTTTTCTCCCTTGGTAGCCCTCACAGAGAACCCTGAGTTTGAATTCCAGCTCTGAATTCTGCACTGAGGGAGCCCCTCCACTTCCACTGTGGAGGTAAAGCCCTGAGAAGGAGATTATGGCCCAAAGACTGGCAGCCCCCATTAAACTGTGACCAAACCGGTGCCACAAAGGGCTCTCAGCCTCTCTTTTTAAGAAAAGCTGAGAGTAGATGGATTTAGCAATCATTTCTTTTCCATTCCGGCTGGTGAAAAGCATTTCTCAGTCACAGCAGCAGTGAAGTCAAGGATGGGATGATGAATTTCTGCTCACAGGAGGAGCAGCAGCCTCTGGGACTCACCAGCAGCAACTGGTGCACAGCTTTAAACCCCATTATTCCTAAATTAAGAGGATCCTGTCAAATAAACACAGTCCACACAGCAAAGTCTGCAAGGACTCAGGTCTAATGTGAGAATTATTAATTCAGGATTTCCACTGGAGTGGACCTGGGGTACACCCCTGACACCACAGAGAACATTCCACTTACCTTGGGTGCTGGGAGAGCACAATTCCAGCGGGAAGGAGGAAAATCCCCACTCAGAGAAGCTCAGGAGGCTGCTCAGAAAAGGGTAGGGCTGTGGCCATCCTGCTTTTATAGGGGCTGGGGCAACCAGCAGCAGCTGTGGGTGCTGCACAGCAGAATCCCATCAGCTCCTCCATCAAACCCAACCGTGCCCAGCTGCTCCTGCAAACCTGGCAGGGAATTAACTCCTCTTTCCCCATGGAAATGCCCTCCAAGGGCTGCTCCAGGTGCCAATTCCCAGCCCCAGGTGCAAGCCCAGAGCAGGGGATGCACAGGGAAGGCTCCAGCTGAGCTCTGAGAGGGTCCAGTGTGGAGCTCAGTAGCTTTGAAGTCCTAAAGCTCCTTTAAAGAATTCTAAGTTTCAATGATTATAAGGCATTAAAGGGGCAAAACGAGACAGAAAAGGATACTTGATGTCTTATTTCATTGCCTCACCATAAAATCCTTTTTTATTCCCTTTAAAGCTCTGCTGTCAACTGAAATAAAACTCCAGATTTATTCCTGGGAAAGCACATGAGTAATGAAAAGAAAGAGAATTAAGCACCATCAGTGGATTGCACAAGGGAAAGCCCAGAGTTAACCCTCAAATCCATCCTTGGTGCTGCTGTGTTCAAAATTATGGATGAAGTGGGTAGAAAGTGGAAAATGGTGGCACTGCTGCAGGAGGAGGAGGAGGACAGGGAGCAAAGGGGTGGTGGTGGGAATTGCTGGGAAGAAGAAAAGGAATCAGGGAAAGCAATTTTTGCTGGTCCTTCCCAGGTAAAATGAGGACAGTATGGAGAAAAATCTCTTTTAAAAACCCCCAAAACATAAAAATGGCCTCTTGATAGACTGTGTGAAAGTGATACAGCAAGAGAGGTGGGTGGTTTGGCAGGACCCACCAAACCTAAGCCAAAGTGATAAAAAAAAACCTGTAAAGCTCTTGAAAGCTGCTTTAAATGAGAGTGACTTGTTTTGACACCGTTCCCTAAGAATGGCTGTAACACAAACAAAAATTAATGATGTCAAGCATTAATACTGATGCTGCAGGAATTCGACCAATGTGGTCCCAATTAACCATCAAACATGGTTACAATTTGAAAAATGACTGTGGGAATGTCGCAATGATCAGATCCCTCCCAGCACCCACCCAGGTTCCTGTGGTTCCCTGGGGGATGCAGCCCCCACCTTCTTCCATCCCTGCAAGTGTCCAGGGCTTGGAGCACCCTGGGACAGTGGAAGGTGTGCAACAAGGTGAGATTTCAGGTCTCCTCCAACCCAAACCATTCCAGGATCCCACAATTCTGTGATTCCCCATCCTCACTCGTGGCTGTGGCAGGTCCAGGTGCCAAAATGCACCAGGGAGGGCTTTTGAGTAGTAAATTTAGGCCCTATTTAACTCTTGGAGGTCTCGTTGCATCTTTTTCTCTGCAAATGTGAAGGTGACAGAAACATCCTCTGCAACCTCAAAAGCTTCCCAGTCACCAGAGGCTGGGACTTTATGGGAATCAGAGGCAGAGGGAATTGTAGCAGAACTCCAGGACTTGGCAGAGCTACTCCCTGGCAATAAATAACTTCCCTGACCAAGCAAAGCCCTTGTCCAACCTGCCCCTGCCAGGCCCAGCACAAGTCAGAGCAAAGGAGCTGATTTTATCCAGGATTTCCAGGCAGAGTAAATCAGCTGAGACAGGCACGTCTGACCAGGACATTTTTTTGGCTGCAGCTGCTCCTCAGAGTAAATATCTTCTTCCCAAACACTCCTGGATCATTTATTGCCTGGATGACAGACTGGGAGATCTACGGGACAAAGCTGCTCATGACTCCTCCGAGGCACTGGAGACGTTCCCAAAATCCAGGCCATGCTCCAGTGGAGGATCCACCCAACCATGAGTTGTCCAAAACCTCCATTTGTTTCTCAACCACCAAACACGTCTGGGACATGCAGGGCTCACAGACAAACCCTGGGTAATGCCAAAAATCCAAACTGGTTCTCCTGGGCAGCTTTGTGGCCATGCAATATTCTGCTTTTCTCCAAGACCTGCTGATTAGCACTGATGAAGATTAATCTGTACCAACATGGATGTGCACCCTCATCCTCACCACGTTCCCACCACGTTCTGTGTTATCAGAGAGGTCAGACAGCCCTGAGTGAGAAGAGCCACAGATGTTCCTCTCACCTCCTCCCAGTGCTCCCTGGCTCTCCAACTGGCCTCACTCACCCTCCTCTTGGAGCCAGCTGCAGCCTTCCAACTCGTTTTTTGGTTTTCCAGGGTCCTGGCTGAGCTGGGAGACAGCAGCTGCCCCCTGGAACCCCCCTGACTGCTGCCAGCTTCAGCTGGGGGGGGGAAGAAAAAAGACAAATCCCCCCCCATAATGCGAATACTTTATTATCAATGAGTGACTGGTATTAGCTTTTTGTCTGGGTATTAATAATATTTCAAAAAAACCATACATCAAAATTAGGGCTTTCTCCTATTTTTGCTGTATAATTTTTGTTGGTTTTTTTTTCTTTTTTTTTTTTAAAAATCTGTATTGAAAGAATTATATAAGCCAAAGTGCATTTTCTGTTTTTTGTCCATATACACATTGCACCATACATAAATAATTACATTGTAAAAATGACTCCATAATTACAAGTATAATATATATTTTCATATAATATATAAAACTTTATATTAAATCTAGGTAGATGATATTTGGGATAGTCTGTGTCTTTTTTTTTTTTTTTTTTTTTCTTTTTTTTTTCTTTTTTTTGTGTGTGTGTTTTGTTGCCGTTTCGTTTCGTCGGAGGCTGACCGTTACCGGTTGTTGCTGAGTAGGATCTCCAGCCAACACGGACAGGACGTGATGAACTGTCTGGAATAACACGGCCCCCAGCCCTTGGCGAAGCTGATGCGGACGCTGTTGGGGTCGTAGGGCCCGTCTGCATAATCCAGCTCGGCCGTGTGCTGCAGCAGGCAGGACTTCTCGTAGTCAAACACCTTGATGGAGTAGCCCGGCATCACCTTGCGCACGATCAGAGTCCTACAGTTGGGGATGTCCAGTGTCGGGGAGTTGACGAAGATGGGATGCTCGCTGCGGTTGTAGGCCCACACCCCGTCCGGTTCCTTGCTCAGTAAAATCCCGTAGCCGATTTTACTTCGAGTCCTTCTCACAGTCTCGCTCCTGTTGTCCAGGTTTAGCTGTCCGAGGCAGAAGCCGTTTCCTTGAGGTAGGTCGTAGAAGATACTGACAGACTGTTCGTACACTGTGTAGAGGCGGCCCACGCGCGTCCGGTGCTCCCAGTAGGCCACGTTGCACCAATGGCTCCTCTTCACGGCATCGGGCGACGTGCTGGCGTCTGCGGGGAGAGAGAGGGAGTCAGGAGTGCTGGGATCACCTGGGAACCACAGGGATGGGGCCTGGGAAACGGCTCCTCCCACCCATTTGGCTTTGCTCAGTGAGAACTTCAACCTGTGCTCAACCCAACCCTTGTGTTCAGCATAAGCTTCATGTTCAACCCAAAGATGGTGCTCAACTCCAAAACCTGTGTTCAACACGAATTCCATGCTTTTCCCAAAAGTGGTGCTCAACCCAAAACCTGTGCTCAACACGAATTCCATGCTCTTCCCAAAAGTGGTGTTCATCCTAAAGGTGGTGCTCAACCCAAAACTTGTGTTCAACCGAAAACCTGTGCTCAACACAAATTCCATGCTCTTCCCAAAACTGGTGTTCAACCCAAAACTTGTGTTCAACACAAATTCCATGCTCTTCCCAAAAGTGGTGTTCATCCTAAAGGTGGTGTTCAACCGAAAACTTGTCCTCAACACAAATTCCATGCTCTTTCCAAAACTGGTGTTCAACCCAAAACCTGTGTTCAACAGAAATTCCATGCTCTTTCCAAAACTGGTGTTCAACCCAAAACTTGTGCTCAACACAAATTCCATGCTCTTTCCAAAACTGGTGTTCAACCCAAAACCTGTGCTCAACACAAATTCCATGCTCTTCCCAAAACTGCTGTTCAACCCAAAACTTGTGTTCAACACAAATTTCATGCTTTTTCCAAAAGTGGTGCTTAACTCAAAGACGGTGCTCAACCCAAAACCTGTGCTCAACACAAATTCCATGCTCAAACCCAAAACTGCTGTTCAACCCAAAACTTGTGTTCAACACAAATTGCATGTTCAATTTGCATTCAACCCAAGTTTGTATTTAACCCAAAATCTGTGTGCACCTCAAAAGTTCTGTTTAACCCTAAGTTTGTGCTCAACCCAAAGTCCATCTTCAACCCAAGCTTGTGTTCAACCCAAATCCTCTCTTTGATTGTGTCAAATGCCACCAAGACTGGTGGCTCAAGCCCAGGCTGGAGACCCCACAGGATGGCCACCATCTCCTGTGAGCTCAGCACATCTCTCTCCATTCAATGTCCAGCCCTGGGCCCTCAGGATGTTTGCATTCCTCCCACCGGAGCCGGTATGGACACTGTGCTGGTATCCTGAGCCTGGTGGCTCCCCAGCACCCCTGTGCTCCTGCAACCCCGATTTCCAACCCAAACTGTGCCAAGCTGACCCCCAGGGATGTCCAGGATGTGCCTGGATGAGTGACCCGCCAGGTGCCTCCTCTGTTAATGCTCTCTGACAGCGACGCTGATGTTCCCGTGGGGAACATGAAATCTGAGGAAGTGTCTCATGCCAAGGAGGAGTAGCTGCTATGAACTATACATGTCCTTCTAAAAACCCACTGGAACTCTCTCCAGACAATGAGAAACGTCTCTTCTTTCTAGGAATTACACTCAGGGAAGACGGGAGGAACGCAGGCTGCCAGAAATCTGTTTCATCTCTGATGCCTCCACAATTTATGATGTCTCCAGAAGGAAGACAGGCAAAGAAGAGCCCCAAAGAGGGCGAATTAACCACTTGCTGAACATCATTCCTGCTCCTAGCACACCGGCTGAGGGAAAACCGCTGTGGAATTTCCAGCCACCGCGCTCCGTGGCCGGCATTAAGCTCCCTGACAATCCCTCACGTGCCCGCGGCCTGCTGACCCCGGTGCCTCCGTGCCATCATGTCCCATTAACTCGCCCACGGGGTGATGCCATTATTGTGCTCCAGAGCCCCCATTGACACACCGGATTTCAGGCACAGCCCTCCAGCCCCGCTTCTTTTCAGGCTCATATTACCCCGGAGGAGACCGGGCTCCCCTCCCCATTAACCAGCTTTGAATTAAGCGGCTTTGTTGGAGTTTAACTGGAGTTGTAACTATACAAATTTAAGGGGAGGGCTGTGGGGGAGGGGGTAATGGGGCAGGCAGCAGGATGCCCTTTGCTGTGGGCAATGCTCATCAGCCTGAAGCAGCCCCTTCACCCACCACAGGTCACATTTTTAGGGGAACCATGTCAGTTTTTACCCCCTTCACCCACCACAGGTGACATTTTTGGGGGGACCGTGTCAGTTTTTTCCCCCTTCACCCACCACAGGTCACATTTTCGCAGGAACCATGTCAGTTTTTTCCCCTTCACCCACCACAGGTGACATTTTTAGGGGGACCATGTCAGTTTTTACCCCCTTCACCCACCACAGGTGACATTTTTGGGGGGACCGTGTCAGTTTTTTCCCCCTTCACCCACCACAGGTCACATTTTCGCAGGAACCATGTCAGTTTTTTCCCCTTCACCCATCACAGGTGACATTTTTGGGGGGACCATGTCAGTTTTTCCCCCTTCACCCACACCACAGGTCACATTTTTGGGGACACCATCTCAGTCCATCCCCCCGCCATCAAATGGGACAACTTCCACTAAACCAGCATGCTAAGAGATCCATCCATCTTCCACAGCATCCAGTTTCCACAGTCATTTTTCCCCTGGGACATCCTACAGATGCTCCCAATGCCTTCCCAAAGCTCTCCCCAAACACTGAACTTTGCTGTTGTCCCACTCAAGTGATCTGGGGGGCTACAGACCAGCTCAGGGCCTTTCATGTGCCGGGGCTGGAGGCTGGTAGCAATTACTGAGCTCTGCATCTGTTTAACCTCCCAACCTCCTCAAAGCCCTCCATGCCCATTAGCTATGTTGGTTTTGTTATTACATTTTTGAGAAACTACTGCTCAGCCCCTGCATTTCCCTTACAGATTAAGGATGGGACAACTTCAAACCTCCAGTGTCCCCAGCAGCTCCATTAATCAGGGGAACAGTCAGCAGTAAACATTTAAATAGGAGTTTCTCATCGTTTAGTGTGAATTAATATAGAAGGAGGGGAATGTAAAGCTGGAGGAAAACAGTGCATATCCTACAAAAATATTTTGCTGGAAGTGCCAACAGCCCTGGTGCCATCTCTGCTTTCCAGGAACTGGGAAATATCTAAGCAAAATAATCCATGAAAACATGGATGGTTTTCACATGCATTTGAAATAGCTTTATTAAAAGCATTTCCATGCAACTTCTGGCAGGAACTTCCCTCCATCCATCCATGAATGCACCCCCTGCCAATGAGCTCCTCATCTCTGTCATCCCACAGCTCCTGGCTGGCAGTGCCAGCTCTGCCAGCTCACAGCACTCCTGGAGAAGTTCCTGTGCTCCTTCAAACAGGCGACGACGTGAGTTTCAGGTAACTGCACCTCAAGAAGTGAGATGTTTCCTTTCAACCCACTTCTTCTGGCCAAGGGAGAGGAGAGTCTTTAAAATCCAAAAAAAGCAACCCACAGGTAAATAACCCCCTGGAAGGGGACAGCTCCAGGCTCATCTGAGCAGCCTCTGCCTGCAGGGTCCCTCTCCCAGCGCTCCCCGTGCTGCGGTGGGTTCCTCTCCCTCCTTTTATCTCCCAGTGCACTCAACCAATTCCTGCAAAGATGAACTCATCCCGCAGCCCTGACATAAAACAAGCACTTCAGCAAGCCCCCAAATCAGGGGGGCCTGTGCTGTGTCTCATCCCCTGCCAAGTATTAGTTTCGCCTCCAGCTATTAGCCACTACCACTCTGCAGAGAGCAGGGGCGGCCGGCACAGCACCTCCTCCTCCTCTCCTTTTAAATAAATATTCCACTTTTCCCTCCTATTTTTTTTTTCCATGCTGCCCTTTATGCACAGACAAGAAAATCCACTTTTTGTTCTGTTTTTTCCCCCCCGCTCCCACTTCTGCTGGAACAGAGGCGGGCTTGTTAGCGTTCTTTTTGAAGAAAGGAAAATATTTGAGTCCCGCAGTGGTACAGGAGGGGTTTTTAACAACTATCATTGTAGGCAACTACAACTTGTAGCAGCTCCAGAGGGGCTGGCGTCAGGGCTATCTGCTCCATCAAAGCCACCTTCATCCATCAGATGGAGGGGCTGGAACTCTGCCTTGTGTTTACTCCTTCCTCCACCACCTTTTCCTCCACACTCGCAGCACATCCCAAAGTGAATTCAAACAATTAAGAGATAAAGGAACAAGGCAGGAGAATCCAACCCAGAATTTAAAGGGAAAAGGCTCCTGCGTGGCTCAGGCAAAAGGAATCTGGGTCTGGGAATAAATGCAGAGAGCAAACACTGTAAATCCTCCCAGGGTTAGCAGCACTGCTGCTGTCACTCCCTGCAGAGTGTGGAGGTAAAGAAAATAACTTGAGGTTTGAGACTATTTGTGATTTGACAGCGGTTTATGCCAGTAAAGTTCAAAGGAGCGCTTTAGAAGAGAAAAGAAAGATGCTTTTTTCCAAAACAAAACGCTGCACAGTCCCACACTGCTTGGTGCTGCACTTGAGAGAAGGATGGAAAACATGGGCAGATCACGAAACACATGAAATAAACTGCTCAGATTCACTCTTTGGCTTTTCCAGAGCCACCAAACCTCCTCTCAGCGGGTCAAATGGCAAATGCCCCCTCAATATGTGGCTGCAAGGAAGAGCTTCTCAAAACACATTGAAGAGGTGCCCACAGCTCCCTATGGGCACCATGCACATGAAAAATAAATCACTGCACTCTCCAGATGTGATGGGGATTTGAATGCACATCTGGGCAACCTGGAAATGAAGCAGGGTATTCCAAAGTGCCCCCAGCACAGAGCCCACTCCCCATTCCCATGTCCCTCCCTCCTGCACTCCTGTGTCCCAGGGCAGCCTCACACTCCACTGGCCATGGAGCTCAGTTACATCTCCCTCAACACCTTTCCACTCACTTTTACTCCACTTTTGGACTATTAGACCCATGCTCAGTTGGTTTTCTTCCCCTCTGCCACAGCACAGATGTGTATTTACACTGCCCAACACACAGCAGCAGGGAAGCAGGAAGGTTACAGCCATACACAGGTCACTGTAAACAGGGTGCAGATAAAAAGCCCAGCACAAAGAACACACACATTTCCCCAAAATCTATTAACAGTTCACTGGGGAGCCAT